TTTTGTCCTTAAATTTCAAACCTTTTGTTCTGTGATTCCCTTCCTAATAAATATATTCTCTGATTTCTGTGTTTCTATGGTTTGTATATATACCGTAATAAAACTCTGAAGTAAATAAAACAAGTACCAACGATCCGGACCGCAAAACGAAACCCTAAATCCAAAACAACATATTGGTGAAACATTAGTAGCATTTTTATCATTTTACATATAGACCAGAGGGAGAAGGGGGGTATTGTCACCCGAGAGGGGGCAAAATCTGAGTTAACTTTTCTAGAGGCATTTTTCCTCAGGAATCCGAATCTGGGAGGTAAAGTGTCAGGTCAGGGGGCGTTTTTGAGTTATTCAAGGTCAAAGGTCACGAAAGGTGAAATAACCCAAAAAACGTTAAAAATTGAGGATTTAACTACAAAATGTGTACAAATTCATTGATATCATGTAGAAATTGGCGAATGCCCATTAGTGTGAATCGGCACTATCTGTAAGTCCCAATTCTTTGAGATAATCCAGGTCAAAGGTCACGAAAGGTCAAAATAGGTCATGACATTGTGAAGATGAAGTCTGTAATAGCTTGACATTATGAAGATGTAGTTTGTAATAGCTAAAGGTCAAAATAGGTCAAAATGGAAAGACGGATCTCATTGATCATGTCATAAGCAATATCAAGTAGTTGTTAAAACTCCTATTGAAATAAATCATTTACTAGTAAATGTACATGCATGAAATAAATGTAACTAACAATTTGAAAATCGCTGAATCACAGAAGGCCTTATTCGTCTTAAACGCCGTCGGCGAAGTGTTATAAAAGGCTTATCAGACAACCGCCACATTCTAGCAATATAGTTAGCACGCTGTATATGCAGTACTAAGGACGTCAGACACGGGTACAGTGAGTACAGTGTTCAGTTTCTTCTGATTTTGATCGTAATTTTTCTGGAGTTCTGCCTGGCAACTACTCAATGCTGTTTGTCGATATTAGTTGATTTTCTTCAACGAATCCTCGGCTATATTCTTCACTGTTTTCAATTCTTCTAACTTACGTTTCAGACTGTCTTTCTGATCTTCGTAATTTTCTAAATTGACGTCTTTAGAGTCTTTGATAGTAAGAAAAGAATGGTTTTGGTGTTGACCAAGAAGGCATGTCGAACACAAAATGGTGTTACAGTCTTCACAGAAACATTTCAGCTCCTCCTTATGATGTTTGGAGCAGTAATCTGTATCTCCTGTTCTGTTTGTTGAACTCGTTGATGGAGCAGATAGATAAGAATTTGTTGACAACTTCCTCACCCCGCCATCTGGAATTTTGCTGATTTTGTTACACATTTGATGCCGTTGCAGCTACCTGCCAAATTAGAACTAGCCACTTCTTTCAGACATTTCCTACAAAATGTATGATGACAATCCAATAATTTAGTTTCCTGGAATGGTCCAAGACATACAGCACATTCAAACTCTTCTACATTCCCATCAATTTTGATTTTGAATGCTGAACAATTCAATAATCTTTATGGTACGTTATTATATAATCGAATCTCTTATGTCATGTTTTATCAACCCAAAAACTGAACAACGTAATAAATATAATCCGAAAACCAGTTAACAATCCACCATAGTTTCCCTTGACAACTAAAGAACAGTTTGTAGTTTAAAGTTTAAAGATCTCCAATCCTATGGTAATAGTAGTATAAAATGTCTCCAGCATTTCTAGATTTATACCTCCAGTTTTGGTTAAAGGGACAGATGTGCCGAAAATTGCATATTTCCTTCAAAAATACCTTGCGAGTTTTACTCACTTTATCTATATGATGTCTTTTCTATATATCACAGAGTATAATCTTAAAATGACGAGTCATAATTTTGGCATTCAAACGCTGAATTGAATTGGACACACATGGAATTGAAGGCGCATCTGTCCCTTTAATGAAGTAAAATTTGTAGAATTTCAAAATATTCGAGAGGTAAACTAATAAATCATGCCAATGATGTTAGTTTCTTAAAATTATAAAAACCACCGAGAGTGGCCTTGTATTTCTAGATTTAGTGGATCATTCTCCTGAAAATGTTTTGAAACTTTGAATTTGTTGTCATAAATTTTGATTTAAGCTGATCAAAAGATAAATAATAAGGCTGTAATTGAACCCTACTATTTTGTATTTGATCATGTAATTATTTGATCAAGTAAGACTAGAATCGTATTAGCTAAATTGATGGTGTTCTAAATAAAAGCATATTGTTATTTTAATTTATGGTAATGTTCACAATGTCAAGCTATTACAAACTTCATCTTCACAATATCAAGCTATTACAAACTACATCTTCACAATATCAAGCTATTACAAACTACATCTTCACAATATCAAGCTATTACAAACTACATCATCACAATATCAAGCTATTACAAACTACATCATCACAATGTCAAGCTGTTACAAACTTCATCTTCACAATATCAAGCTATTACAAACTACATCATCACAATATCAAGCTGTTACAAACTTCATCTTCACAATATCAAGCTGTTACAAACTACATCTTCACAATGTCAAGCTATTACAAACTACATCTTCACAATGTCAAGCTATTACAAACTTCATCTTCACAATATCAAGCTATTACAAACTACATCTTCACAATATCAAGCTGTTACAAACTACATCTTCACAATATCAAGCTATTACAAACTTCATCTTCACAATATCAAGCTATTACAAACTCCATCTTCACAATATCAAGCTATTACAAACTTCATCTTCACAATATCAAGCTATTACAAACTACATCTTCACAATGTCAAGCTATTACAAACTACATCTTCACAATGTCAATCTATTACAAACTACATCTTCATAATGTCAAGCTATTACAAACTTCATCTTCACAATGTCATGATCTATTTTGACCTTTCGTGACCTTTGACCTGGATTACCTCAAAGAATCGGGACTTACAGATAGTGCCGATTCACACTTATGGGCTTTTGTCAATTTCTAGTTGATATCAATGAATTTTATACACATTTTGTTCCCTCTCGGGTGACAATACCCCCCTTCTCCCTCTGGTCTATAGGCCTACAACCGAAATTTGAAGGTAAAACTGCCCTTTGTTGAGACAAGGTCAAGCAGAAGTTTGAGTAGTCTGCAACGTCAATTAATATTTGGACTAATGTTTTCAAAATTATCTCCCTTTCAATGTGTTTTATTACCCTAAATAAATGGTTGGTAGTCTATATGTTATTGTTCAACCTTGTTGAAGTGGTAAACGCAACCATCGAGTTATTTGGTTTTTTTGATGCACATCTCTATTTCTCTTTTGAATATTCACCATTGAGGTATTGAGATTGTGAAACATTTTAATTTCTGAACGTCTCCAATTCACTTTCGAAAATTCGAGGTAAATTGAGAAGTATCTTGATATATTTGCGAATCTCAGCCTAAAAATTAGACGGTTTACCCCCTGAAGTGATTTGCCACGAAAAATGTATCAAAGCAACACTTCTGTGAATGCAATTTTCCTACAAATAATAGAGTCAAAATGAAGTCGAGAGGACAACTTGTCAATGTCAAGCTATTCCGAACTTCGTACTTATACCTTTGACTGCAGTAGTTAGTAGTCGGATCCCTTTGTCATAAAGACTTTAACAAACACTTTATCTTATTTTTTGCAGACTTTCTCTCTATTGAGGCCTCTGATTAGCTATTTTTTGGTTTTTACGTACAATCCAATTAAATGGTTGCATTAACAAACTTCTGTAACACAAGAAAGGTGGCTTTTGCAGTCAAGGTATAAGACGTAATAGCTTGACATTTGCGAGTGAAATAAGCGAAGTCTACCCCTCGACTGTATAGTGGTACCCTATGCGAGAACAGGAACATTGTAGAATATCTGATGTCTTATTGGACTCATTAATGGCTCAGCTTTGTACAGATACCAAAAGGTATGCCAAAGATGGATTTTGTCATGAAAATATTCAAAAAAAAACTAGCTACTCAAAGGTGAATCGTCGCAACTCCGACAAAAAGTGACATTTTATGTCTGGTCCTAAACGTGTCAACATTCGATTGACGTTTCTAGGAAACATCAGATGAGGGGCCCTAACAGGGGCAACAAAATTCTCCACGGGGCTTGGGGCACAGGTCATTGTTTTCACTTTTTTCATGTAAAACAATAGAAACGCCACTGCTTCCCATCAGTATATCACGTCCAAGAAAAGGGAAGAGCAACATGTGACATGCTAAGGCAAAATGAACTTTCGCTTAATGATGTTGCTAAACAGAACATGTATCCCTATAAGCATGGGGTGTATTGCTGTTGGACAACTACGTGAAAATGCTATGTGGAGGATAGTGTATAACAGAATATACTGTCTATTTATAAACCGGGAAATCTATCAAAAACAATATAGATATTCTATAGTCAATAGTATTATTAAATATCTGTATTGAAAGAAGTATTGAAGGAGGAAAATGAAAGTTTATGAACCACGCTATAGGACATGAATCATGAAGTAGGAAATTTCATATAGTTGGTTTACTTTATTGACAATAGTAAATAACCACACGTTCTGTTTTCCGTGATGCATAAACGTTCGTGTGCATTATGGACAATAATTAAACGTTTTGATATACATTTCGCTTTATGAAAACACTTTCACGATATTACCTGTGGTTATAGGTGGGAAGAGGAAGGAGTTCTACTGTTATTGCCCTGTTAGCTTGAAATAACATAACCGCTATTTGGAACCAATTTAACTGTGTTTTAGAACTGTGAAGAACAGCACTCCTTGGTACAGTTTCCAACCAATTTCCAAACATAACCGCTCAAAATGTGGACATTACCTGTGATACTTACCAGTGTTTTATTGAGAATTATAGATGGAAATAACAGTAAATATTATTTGTATTGATAATTTTAGCGATCCGTTATACGTCTGAAAACTGAATTTTGCAATCATTTGTTTTGTAAATCAAATGGGTCTTCTGTTCAATGCCATATTTTTGTAATCATGTTTTCGACAACTACTTCCATGCAAGGTTTGTCTACTTTTGATTAAACCTTCATGGGAATAATTCAAGACTTGTTGTACTCTTAGTTGTTGGTCAAGAACTCTTTGGTTTGGGAGTCCGTTTATGTCTTTTATTGTTGTATAAATTTTCGTTTTAGTTGACATGTGTGAAAACAAGGCACTCACCACGAACTCTGTTTTCCTTAAAAGAAATAGCAAGACTGCTCCTACCAATTGCTGGTGTCAAATAATATCAGAAACTGAAAGCTTGATTCAAGTTATATCCAATGTTATTGAGTTTAGAGGACACCAATACAAGTTATCTGTTTCTTATGGAAATTTTACGAAATCACCTTAGAAATAGAATCAAATGACTGGTCTCTCTCTGATGGTCTAGAATTTGAAATTAAATTTTTTTCGAAAATAGGTAGGACAATGTTTTCATTATCATTAAAATATACTACCTCTTAGAATGGACTTAAAATTTAAAGTCTCGAACATAGTCAAAAAGAGTATATATTCATCAGTCGGACTAACCAGGCGCTATGACTAAATAGAATCTCTATATAAGACGATACATCCATTAAACTAAATGAATTTAGTTGTATGGATTTATTGGATTATAGAGGGATTCTATTGTTTATCTGTATCTTTTTAGAATCTAATATTTACTTGGTCACAAGTTTTGATAAAAGCTTATAATTAAAATAAAGAAGCTTGGTTTTGGTATTTTGAACTCAATGGAATTTTCCGTTTCCGGTTTGGTCAAGGATTTTGAAATTCTGAACTGATTCAAATCACAAAGATAAATGAGAATTTCTGGGATTCTTAATTGTATAACTAGAGATTAGAATTTACCATAAGAATAAATTCTTTCCAATTTCGAATATATATTTAACATTTGGATAGAATACTTTGAAGGGACAGGTTCGCCATTCGTTTAACCAATCATGCCTTAGTCTCAGATTTTACTTCTACCTCTTTTAGCTATGCTAATCAGTAATAGTGTTCACAGCCTTTGAGCCTTCAAATCCATGTGTGTCCAAAATTATCCGCGCTTGAAAGTTAAAATGACGACTCGTCATTTCTTGACACTCTGCGATATATACAAAAGACAATTATATGCTATTATCGTGCATTTTTAGTAGTTTTGAAGACTATTCATGAATCAAATCAACCTCTCGAAATGACAACCAAGATCTTTTAAACTGTAATTGAAATTACCAACAACGTTTTCATTACTTCTACATTTAAATATTATTTTGTAGGTCGTATCAATATAACTTGTCAATATCCAATTGCGCCATCACCAGATACCACACCAGTATTATCAGTTACACAGAGTTCCAAGACCGAAATTATAAATACTCAGAAAGTTGACTTGACATGTCAGAACAATACAGACGAGCTCGGTAAATTGCTACTAACGTTGAATTTATCGAAAAAAGACGAAAATACTTGGCTACATAGGATTTTTTTTGACTAATTTGTAGTGTCCAGAACTATTTATTCGAGACCCAAATCAAATCCTCAAAAATAGCGAATCAAGGCCTTTGATTGAAATTACCAACAACGTAAATATTACTTCTACATTTAAATATTATTTTGTAGGTCGTATCAATATAACTTGTCGATATCCAAATGCGCCATCACCAGATACCACACCAACAACTTCGTACACAGAGAGTTCCTCAACAGAAACTTATACTCAGAAAGTTATCTTTACATATCAGAACAATACAGACGAGCTCGGTAAATTTGTTACTAACGTAGAATTTCTAGAAAATAAGACAAAAATACTCGGGTACATAGGAATTAGTTTGACTAATTTGTAGGTTATTTCTATGTTGACGTACTTACAACTTACTAAATGTTTCTTAACATATTTAAAATAACAAATATTTTCACTGTTAAAATAGTACTCAATACTTCTTGAAAAATGTATATGAGTTTCAACTGTGAAAGCATATTTAAATAGGTTTCCTAAGCTCCATTATATTCTTTCTAATGTACTGGTATATCGAAAATTCAGTTATATATCTATTTCTGAATATTGTATAATTATATATTACAGTTATTTATCTATTTCTGAATATTGTATAATTATATATTACAGTTATAGATTTCTCTTTGAATATTGTATAATTATATATTACAGTTATAGATTTCTCTCTGAATATTGTATAATTATATATTACAGTTATTTATCTATTTCTGAATATTGTATAATTATATATTTCAGTTATTTATCTATTTCTGAATATTGTATAATTATATATTACAGTTATAGATTTCTCTTTGAATATTGTATAATTATATATTTCAGTTATAGATTTCTCTCAGAATATTATATAATTATATATTTCAGTTATAGATTTCTCTCTGAATATTGTATAATTATATGTTTCAGTTATAGATTTCTCTATGAATATTGTATAATTATATGTTTCAGTTATATATTTCTCCCTGAATATTGTATAATTATATATTTCAGTTATAGATTTCTCTCTCTGAATGTTGTATAATTATATATTTCAGTTATAGCTTTCTTTCTGAATATTGTATAATTATATATTTCAGTTATATATTTCTTTCTGAATATTGTATAATTATATATTTCAGTTATAGATTTCTCTCTGAATATTGTTTAATTATATATTTCAGTTATAGATTTCTCTCTGAATATTGTATAATTATATATTTCAGTTATAGATTTCTCTCTGAATATTGTATAATTATATATTTCAGCTATATATTTCTCTCTGAATATTGTATAATTATATATTTCAGTTATAGATTTCTCTCTGAATATTGTATAATTATATATTTCAGTTATAGATTTCTCTCTGAATATTGTATAATTATATATTTCAGTTATAGATTTCTCTCTGAATGTTGTATAATTATATATTTCAGTTATAGAGTTCTCTCTGAATGTTGTATAATTATATATTTCAGTTATAGATTTCTCTCTGAATGTTGTATAATTATATATTTCAGTTATAGATATCTCTCTGAATATTGTATATTATATATTTCAGATGTAGGATTGTTAGGTGGATTGATTAGTTGTATTATTGTAATAATAGTACTCATTATAGTCATAATTTAGTATGTAGACCCTTTCTTTCACTTAGATTACTCACCACCATTCTCTGAATTTCCCCTTGTCTACAGACCACAATATCCAAAACTTCACCATTTTCGGAGGTCAATCGTGCCTTGGTCTCAGAAGTAGGAATTGTTTAGCTTAACTAATCATTAATGGTGTAAGCAGCTTATCTTTTACCATTCCAATTTTCAATCAGACGTCTATGGTTCCTGCAATTTCACTAAAACTAAGCGTTTTATGACGCAAAATTTGCTTGTATCACATAAGACCTTTGTGGGATGACGTCATAAAACACCTAGTTTTAATAGAATTGCTAGAACCACAGACTTGAAAATTGGAATGGCGCAAATTGATGCTATCATTGTCCCCGATACACATAGAAAATTTAGAAAACCTTTTTACAATCCCTTTGATTTATATGAATTTTATTATATTCTAGCATTGTTATACGTCAGCACCAGAAGGAAAAATTATACAACCAACAATCAACAGTCCTACCTCCTTCGGATACTGAATACAGCGGTGTATACTTGACACCAACAGGTCCTTAGCCAGTCGGAGAACATTGAGAACCAGCGTGTTGCTTTGAATTACGACAGAGGAAATTATTTTAACACATTGTTCTGTGCTGCATCTAAAAAAACTCTAAAAAATAACAATATAATAATTAGTTTTCCTATGAATAAAATATATGTGTTAATTTGTCTTGTATTTCTTCTACGCAATACGTGTTTTAACGTAGTTATTCTCTTCGTTCCCGAAAATTTCATTTGTTACTGTTTTGAACCAATTTTGTCGAATTCTTACACTCTAAAATTGGTGAAAGGTGAAAGTGTAATAGTTCCATTAACTTTTATCAATAGTAATTTTTGAATTTGGTCGTTTGCAACGATTAAATTTACGTCAATCTTATAGACTTCAGAATTATCTCCCTTTCTCTGAATTGGAAACAATAATCATATGACTTGCTGTAATATTATGATGCAGTGCATTACACGTAAAGAAAATGGAACATGTTTTACTACTAGCCTTGTTGAAGAGGTAAACGCAACCATCGAGTTTGTTTTTGGGGCTCATCTCCATTTCCCTTACGAATATTCACCACTGAGTTTAGTCAAGTATGTTATATTTAGCTTTTAATGAATATTTATTTATATCGGGTTTACCTGAATATGATGAGGATAATATAATTTATTATATCTATGATGTAATTATCAGGTCCAAATATTATGAACTTAGCTTTTATATTTTATAATTAAAATGAGATAAAAATTGTTTTTTCACCCGATATATAGCTTCTGAAATGCTGTGCCACGATTATAATTATGTATATATATAAGTGTGTAAGCAATAATTTGAAGTGCCTATATAACTTCCTGTAATATGTTTCAATACTCATACGATTCTTCACTATCGTTCTTGACCTTTCTCGGTGACTAAACTATCTTAATTTAGCGATTAAGTTTCTTTGATGGTGGCGCGTTTCCCGTTTAGGTCATAACACTAGGAAAATAACCGAAGTTGATTCATTTGTCTCTTAAACAGTAACAAGAAAATTAAACGGAAACGATAGGTCAGTAGCAAAATAAACCCAATTCGCTTTTCATGTACACTGTGACAACAAAAAACTAGTTTTTGACTTGCACAAATCACAAATATAATCACATTTGTATTACGTATTCATAAACACATAATATAGTGTGTTGAAAAGATGACTTTCTTTTGTTATTATTTCTATATGTTAAGTCGGGTATAACATAATTCACTGTCTATTTATAAACCAGGAAGTTTAAAAGAAATATAATATAGATCTTCAATAGCCATTTTGTATCTTGTATAAGTTGAGAGAGGAACTACAAATTGAATTGTGTCATGTATAGGACAGTGTTGGTGTAACGAAAGTGTGCTATAGACACTGTGCTTCAATTAGGAATATTCACATCATTCTTGGACGGTATTATTCTGTTGATGTTTATAACGAGAATGAAGAATAGACAAACTTGTTCTGTGTTCTGTGATGCATAAATACTCGTCGTCTTCACGAACATTAATATCACTTGTGTAATTTTACCAGTCGTTATGTAGAAACAGTAAGATAAATTGGGAGTCTTGTGTTCCTGAATAAAGTTCTATATCTAATGATACACAATCTCTTTTCGACATTAAAACGTGAAACAGACTACATGTATATGTCTTGGTAGACACGCCGGTAACAATGTGGAACACAATATTGCTTGTAAAAATTGTTGTCAGTGTTTGTTGGCGAATGGTAGAGGGAAACAACAGTAAATATATTTTCATTCATTGACATTGCCTTTATATATTTTTTGATACTGACACCTCTCCGCCCTTTCATCATCTCTCAAAATCTGAAAGAAAATGCAATTTCAGACATTAAATTACAAATCCAGAACAAAAATTTGACAAAAAAAAAGACATGCTAAACCAAAATAAGGGAGGGAGAAAGAGGATTTTTTAAAATAGCACTGACAAGATTTATGCAATCATTGACATTTAATGGTTTAGATCAGTGGATCCTATATTTTCTGAAAGATTTACTTCCCTTGGAAAATAAAACCTATAGCAACTTATATTGTATTTGAATTATGCAGACAATTTCTTTGTGAAATGCCCACTGTTATAAATAGTCTGGAGAATAACAATGGGTCTACTGAAAAATTTATCCAATCGTTCATACACTTTCAGTTCGGTTAATTGATCCTACCTGCTTAAGCAAAAGTTATTAAGTTAGTTATTCCCTGTTCGGAAGGAATGTAATACTGATAATGTTTAATGAAACATTTTGATATATTTCTTTTGATCATTCTTTTCCTTAACATGATTAGATGGATGTTGGTATTACCTTTTTTACAAACCCAAATATAATTTCTTATTGTTTTAGTTGGTATGTGTGAAAACACGACACTCACAATGGACTCTGTTTTTCTATCAAGAGTTAACAAAAATGATCCTACCAACTGCTGGTGTCATATAATATCAGAAACTGGAAGTTCAACTCAAGTTACATTCAATATCTCTAGTTTTGAAGGTCATCAATACAAGTTCTCGGTTTCTTATGGAAATTTTACCAGTTATTTTGAAAACATAATGTCTCCAGATATTTTCTACACTATCAGTGGATCAGACCAGTTAAAGATAAAACTAAAAGAAAACAACTGTTCTATAAATGATAGTTTAGAATTTGGAATTAGAATTTATTCAAACCAAGGTAAGATGATTTTAATTAACCTAAAACAGATGATATTATTGTTTAACCGAAAAACACATTCAGACCGAGGTAAGGCGGATTTATTATATATATCGTTATATATTACAGTCTGAGCAAAGTTGGCCATAGTTTGCTTTTGAGTTTCTTTAGACTTCAGAAATAAAATACTTTTATCAATTACATAAAATATACTTTTGTTCTTTGATTGTCTCGACACTTTTCTGGGAACACTATTACATTGGAAATAATTCAAGTGCAACTTTTTCACACATTCATCTGTACAATAATAACTCTAATACTTACTTTGAATTATGTGTTTAAAATCATTAGTAAGTAGCTGATAATTTGATAAAAGTTCTATTCAGTAGTAGGTCTTTACAAGTCTTCACCATTCGGCGGGTTCGTTTTGCCGCATTGCCCAACTTACCGCATCGTGTCCAACTGCACAAAAACAACTTGTAAAATGGTTTCTGGTGAAATCCGGAATGGCCATTTGTTTCTCAACAATCGCAGGTTCGTCGAGTTTTGTGTCCAACTGCCGACGGTAGTGTGGAGCCAATCAACCCCAGCTTCTACCTTGTCCATCAGGACATTTTGGGACTTATCTGGAACCAATGGGGGTTGAGTCACTGCCGAATTATGGGGAACATCTAATACGAGAATTTTAAACTCACTTGATAATTCTGATTTACCATTCAGAAGATTTTCACTTTCAGACATTTCACTTGCCAGTTTTTCTAGCACGTGGGCGACGTTATAGGCATTCAGTAGAAGGACATAACTCTTACAAGTTATGACCAATTTTATTTATTGAACTTGTCTTGTTTCGTTTTATGGACTTATTTTTTTTATTCTGATCGTTTGTACTTGGTATTTATTTTATTCCTGATTTTACCATAAAACTATAGTTTCGGTTTCCCTTACAGGTCCAAATTATAAATAAAAAGAAAATCTATGCGGGGTAACAGATTAAAATATTTCGTTTCATGTGAAGCAAATGGCCTTTCCGGATTTTATCAGAAACCTTTTTGAGTTTTGTTTTACAAGTCGTTTTTGTGCAGTTGGGCTCGATGCGGCAAGTTGAGCAATGCGGCAAAACGAACCCATCATTCACCATCTCGGTGCATATAACTCAAACTTAAAAAAAATTCAAAGTAATTTTTAGATTGGGAAGAATAATTATAATTATGAAGATTAAATTTATACTTATAACATTACTGTGCTGAAAATTTTGAAATCATTTTTATTGACTATTTTCTAGAAAATATCAGTATAACTTGTTACAATCCAAATGTCACTACAGCAGAACAAAATACTACAATCACTAGTACAAGTAGAGTACCAACTACAAGTACAGTTACAACTACCAGTCCAAACACATCCACAAGTCCAGTAACGACAACAAGTCCAGTAACGACAACAAGTCCAGTAACAACTGAACCGTCGGATACTGCACCATCTGGTACATCTGTAGAAATATCTTCAACTGAAAAAGCTTCAAAAGGAACTACCAATAGTACTACGGATGGTCTAGGTAAAAAGTCAAATTACTGCAACTTTTATTTTAGATAATCTTTTTGTCACTTTAAGTCTAAGTTTTATTCTCCAATCTTCATTTTTAGGAAAAGGTCAACTGGGTAAGAATTGAAATGTTATGCTCTATTATGTCAAATTTCGATCACGAGACTAATTCCGATAGTAGAATCAGAGTATTTATGCCATTTTCAGAAATAATGCACTAAAATTATCGAAAAAGAATTATTAGATTAATTCTAATATCTCCACCAATACTGTCACCCCAATCAGTAATTGCTAATAACATTTAACAATGCAAATGTAAATGTAAATTCGAAACAATATCGTAAATGCCATGACAGTGGTCATTTAGGGGTCAATTCCACTTCCAAAATCGCTTTGGATGTATTCTCCGATTTATGAGATTAGATAAATCTTCCAAGGGGTGACCCCCCTGACCTCCAACATATCTAGTGCACTATTAAATCCAGAAAGGGGAGTCGGGGACGCTCGGATGCCACCTCCGTCAATGAAATCCTCACTATGCCACTAGACATGAATCTTGTATTTCGATTCTGAAATACTTGAATGAGCCATAAAATAATTTTCATCTCATGACGATACGTGTAATTTGTGTTGAAACGTTATGTGTTTAATATTTTATTAAAGTGTGCTGATTCCATAATATTACCTCATGTTTGTGATTTGTACTCCTCACTTCTAAATAACGTTCAAGTATAATATCGAACAGGTATATTTTTGATCAATCCTGAACGGACATCTTGAAAGATTTTCTGTGTTTGTTTTTATGTCATGTAATTTGAGCACATTTGACAAATTATTACACGTGTCTGAGTAAATGTTATTGTTTGTGAACTGTATTTATTTTAAGTTGGTAAATGGTCGAAAACTTGTCAATACGTCTAATAATGACGTAGTACTCGGAACTTCGGTCCTCGTCCAACGATCATTATTAGACTTATTGACAAACTTTCAACCATTAAACTTTAAACGAGTGTACGAGTTTTTTCTCGAGGAATATAAATTGAAAAACTTAACCTGCAGGCGGGACCGAATTCAGTTTTGCATTTATTATCCTACTGTACATCATTTGCAATAATAATATTTCCACAAATGAATTAAATATTTCGTGCAGTATAGTAAGATAAGACCAGACCTGCTTCAAATTCAAAATATTAGCAAATTAGTCCAACACGATTGATCATTGATGTGCTCCTATTCCAATTACACTAGTTTGATGTGGATACTTGATTTTACTGCATTTTAGGTATAGGTTTGATAGCAGGTATAGCTGGTGGCGCTGTGGTATTGATCATTCTAATTTTCATATTGATCATTTGGTAAGTAATTGTTACTCAGTTTATTCCCTTCGATATCATTCTTCTCATTCATGTCTGTTATCAATTCTTACATCCTTCACCTCATTACCCGATTACCAGGTAACACGTCTTCCTGTCATTCTCTGGTTCAGTTAAGTACAATTAGACCAAACTTTCGTTCCGTTTTTATGGGCTTTTATTTTTAATGTGGCCACTTCAGTTAGGGTCTACAGACTGAGCTAGCTCTTAAACATTCGTCTTAATAACGTTTTTGACGTCATCTGCTTTAACCAATCAAATCTTTCACACAATGTCAGCGCTAGAGAGGGCAGGAATTTGATTTGTTGAAGCAGGGTTAGGTTAAAAGGTTATTTGACGAATGTTCAAAAAGGCCGTCTTTAGACCCTGACTGAAGTGGCTATATTAAAAATAAAAGCTAATAAACACGGAACAAAAGTTTGGTCAAATTTTAATTAGACTATCTCTGGTTCATCATCCATTTTCTATCAAAACTATTTTCTCATTATCGTCTCCCTCTTCCTTATTGTGTATTCATTGGCGCCAGAACACTTTCTGTTTGTAACCTTAGTGTAGGTGACTCTAATCATGCATGACTGTTTTAGCTTGTCGAGAAAGGGTCGTTAGATATTGTTTTTTGTGTTGCACCGTCTTCGATAACCTTAATTCATTCTCACCACAGATGTTATGAATGTCTTCTTTACCACTCTTTGTGGGAAGGGGGCGGTTTTCTGAAAACGTGTTTCATCGTCCTTGTTCCGCATATTTTATAAACCAACCACGACAATTCACAACCAGAGTATATTCCTGTTCCTAAACATCTTTTTCATTGTCCTTATCGAGATGTTAACCATTCAGCATATTATATTGAACGTCTTATTAATATATATCTTTTAGTCTTGTGAGACGTAAACGACGAGAGAAAGATCAATACGATCAACCCTCCCCAGCAAGACCTTTACCGGATGCTGGATATGTTACTGTAGACATTAGTCAACATGACAAGGATAATAATTCGTCTCCGAGTGCTGTTGTTATCGAAGATAGTGCTGATTCTGTGTCATCAAGGCAACCAGCCACAAAACAAGGAGGCGATGGTCCAATTCAAATGGAAATTATAGAGAATGATCTCTACGTGAGTTCTGATGACGTCATGAATTACGAATCGAACGATGATAGTCATATCAATGGGATACCGGAAGTCGAATATGCCGTTGTAAATAAAAAACCGGATAAGCCTTTGAAAGAGACGTCTGTAGATAGTGGTGTCTCTATGTCTTCAAATGAACCCAATAGTGATCATGACCAGAAGTTTGTTCTTGGACCTCAAGGCGATGAATATACGCTTGTTACTAAAACTTAGAAAAACATTAATGACAAGCTATTTCTAAAAAAAGAGCTCACTGATTTTTTTTACTCTCGCTGTGTACAAATGTAATCTCTGCAATTTACTTTTAAGTTTTTGTATAATTAATTTTGTTATAATTATCATTTTGTTTAATAAATATTCAGTTGAAAATACCACAAACCTCCAATGACCAAGATGGTGTCTAAATCAGAGACATGGAGTTGTAATACTTATTGCTTACTGTTTACAATCCAATTAAATGAGGTGTTTTTCAATTAAAACTTTTGACAGTCATAGAACGTGGTTGTCCATTAATCCTATGGTTAGTAAAAGGGTTAGCTTTTCATCATTATTCCTCTGAGTTGTTTTGACAATATGGAATATCTAGAAGGATTTACCAATTCACAGAACTTTTTTTTTTGACTAATCAATTTAAATTCGCATTTCATACAAATTCAGTAGCATTTTAAAGTATGCTCCAGATCGATATGGTTATTTACAAGTCAGTGGAATCAGAGAAGAGGGCATTATGAAGCAGTGGGGGTAATGGGTTGATAGGCAGGAACAGAAACAGGAATTCGCACTAGTCAAAGGATCTATGGAGTGTTAAGGTAAATTATCACATCTAATGTATATACAGTTTATTCTAAAAGCCAGCAATACATGTCGTGCAATACATAATTCACTCGAGTGTAAGATGTAGGCGTCTATCTGCCCTGGTCACGTGAGCGAAGCTCGTGCATGAAATATACTTCAATGAGCATGCGCAACCTACATTCATAGTAGACGTTCTGTCCAGTCTGATAGCAGACGACACATTCCATATATTAACATTGATTATATTATTTTTTTTTTTTTTTTTTTTT